ATGTAACACAATGGAGTTTGGATCAGGAATGATTGATGAGTTTAATTGTATTGTACAGGAGAAGGGGCAGTTTTGTAATTTTCTTGACAACTCTTCATTAACCAAATGCTGTAATTCAACAAGTACATCAACTGCTGGTTGTATATGTGAATCATTATCTGATGTACCAAATTACAACTGCTATTGGAACCCAAACAGCATCATAACAGGAGAGTATTGTGAACGATGTCGGCCTGTCTGTCTTAGTCACTCTCACACACTCTCCTTCATTCAATTTGTAATTGGTGTATTTGCCATATCAGGCAGTATAGGATTTAGTAGAAATTTCATCCCAATAGTTGTATCAGATTTAATCGGGAAATCAAAAGAAGTGAGATTTTTTATAGCTTGATCTTTTTATTTGTAATATTAAACTTATTCATTATGCAGGGCTCAGGCTGGTTGATGGGGCTAATGATGGCTGCAAGCGGATTGTCACAAAGTGTTGGACCTTTATGGAGTAAGGACAAATACTTCTTGAAATTTTATATAATTATTTTATTTATCATAGCCAATCCATTGTATTTACTGGTTGGTAACAGGACGTGGTTAGTATCAACAATTTTATCATCTCTGCAGTTTATTTTAATAATATTATTCATTATATTTTTTAAACAATTTAAAGCAAAGAAAGAAGTAAGCTAATTTTAATTTTTCGATGATTGTAATTTTTTGTAATTCTTAACAGGATAATACAATATCAGAAGTAGTTTTTAATGAAGATAGAAGAGAATTACTGCAATTTGAAGACCTAATTCAAGAAGATGATAATGATAATAATAATAAAGAAAGTTTTTTATAGATTTCTCAAAAAGATCACAAAGTTTAATAATACCGCTAGCCACTGTAAGGCCACACCTCCTTGTTTGTATAGATGCAGATCTAATTGGCGAAGAAAGAGCGAGAGAAAGAGAGATGGATCGATAGATTCTATCATAATAGTATTAGTGTCTATGATGAAAGGAGACTGTTACATATTAAGAAACTTAAGAGGTATCTCTATTATCTGTAAATAGACTACATTATACTGTTTTAGTAAAGGAGATAAGTCGTTTCAGACTCAACTGGGCTGTAATATTTAGCCTGGCATATTTCTATGGTCTTTTAAGCTTCATCACTGCCCCGTCTCTCCATCAATTTATAACAAGCTCTTCAAACACAAGTGAATCAGAGGTCAATAATAGATTTAGCCTTTCATTATTAAATTATTTTTGTTTTCAGGTTGTACCTGGTCTAGGTTTGAGTGAGACATGGTATTCCTGGGCTGTTAGTGCTCAGAGTATTGGTATATTTGTGGGTGCTCTACTCTTTAGTGTATTTGCTCGCTCATTCTATTACAAATACATCATTATTGGGTCCCTTTTCATTGCTATATCAAGTGGAGTTATCTACGGTTTTGCTGTTCAAGGCTGGATGGTGATAGCAGGTTCACATTGTCGTACTTATACTTTCTACATGTATAATAACTTTTAAAGGTCGATTTTTATCTGGGATCTATGTTGGGATTTCTTTGTCTATAACCCGAACATATATTGGTGAATCCAGTGATAAAGTTATTCAAATGAGAAAGGAAGCATCCTTTGATTCTGATAAGCAAAACAACAAAGACAAACCCTCACTTAAATATACCAATTACTTCATTCAGTTCACCACATCTGTATTGGGTACAGCAACTGGACCAGGTTAATATTATGTTAATAGTAATAATAGTTTTACATTTATTAACATTAGCTTTGGGAGCAATTGCCTCTCAGATACCTTCTCTAGATCCTTTCCGTTGGCCTGGCTACTACCTCATAATACATGGTGGACTACTCAATATATTTGTGATGCTGTTTTTCTGTGAGAAATGGGATGACGTGAACAGAAAGAAAAAGTCTGACAGTGATAGGAAGAAGTCTAAGAAGTGCCAAAAGCCAGACCAGTCAGTACCAGTAAGTAAACCTGTTTGTGTTGATTTAGAATTTAAATGTTTTGACTATAAAAATTATTGGATATTATTTTCATGACTTTTGTTCGCAGGGGTGGATCTATGGGGGTTTGTTTGGTCGCAACCCTCCCCCCCAAAAACATTCTAACTTAACAATTTTTTTAATGTTTTTATTGTTGCAACAGTGTAGAAGTGCTAACCACCTAGTTTATATAACAACATTACTGTGGTTAATGAATACAATGACAAAAGAATAGTGCTCCAAAAATTATGGAAATGTTGATTTTATGTGATTTTGACCAAAAAATAGTGCCAAAAGGGGTGTAGCCAAATTGCAAGCGCTTCGCACACCATTTTATTTTTTAACCTTCCTATTTCCAAAATCCTGGATCCGCCCATAGTTCATACCATTACATTTACATGTAGGGAGCTATGAGGCTAGTATTATGTATCAGAATAAGGGATTGTGCTATGTCCAAAAGCCTTTTATGCACACATGTATGCACATGTAAATTCAATATTATTCAATGTGATCTATTATCAGGTCATATTGATAAT